CTCACTATTGTACGTCCTGATCTCGTTAGTGTATTTTCTGGTCTCGTTAGTGCATTTCCCAATCTCGTAATTGTATTTCCCGACCTTGAGAGTGTATATTATGTCTATTTACCGGTCGCATTATCAGTAGACCTCTCGGTCTCGTTATAAAGAGACCGAGCTCGGTCTCATTATCATAAGACAAAATAATATAATATAACCTCATTATATCAATATTCTATTCGATAAACGCACCAATCATTTTGTGTGTCATTTCCCAATCGCAATTAAAGAGAAACTCGCAAGTTCGCGACTATAAATGTGGTCGAATTGAAAAGCTAGCTTCTAAATTAACCACGTGGCTTGATATCTGATCCGTAAATCATTCCCGAGCTTAACTAATTGACTATGTGAAGGCTAGTCACATTTTATTCATGTGACCTTCCAGATTTATTTGGCAAAATGTAAAGTGCAAGATCACCGCCCGTTCACCCAAGATGCTTGTGATACGTGGAGAACACGCAAAAGAGCTCGAAACTTATTCCATATCTCCATCAATAAAAACCATGTTAAGTGATGTTAGAAAGGGACTTTTCCTCCCTAATTACACCACTCCAACCAGAGCTAACTGACCTCATGTGGTCAGACTCTTATTTAGCTTCCCAATCACATTTCTCACTTTCAGTTAGTTTTTCGGTCTCATTCATCCCACTTATATTTTAATAGTTTTGTAAGTCAGAGAATGTACTATTCAATCATATTAGTGAATTTCGGTCTAACCCAGTCTAAAAAAGCTTGTGATTTTTCCCTTTCCGAGTTTTCACGTTAAATGTCCGATTTTAATATTTATTTTATAATATTCATCCCAACTATACAAACTTACCCGAAATAATTTATATTATCATTGTCCTTCTGCAGACATTCTGTGAGCTTAGAATTAGTTTAGCCTAGTTAGAAAACGTAATTAATTTTTTTTTTTTTTTAAAAACACGAATTGGTTACAATTGGATCAATCGATCGTAGTTGTTGTTCCATCGTACTAAACAAACACAACCTTAAGAGAGTGCATTTGTTGTCTCAGTGTGCCACGTACGCACCCATGTAGTTGTGCGGCAACTGACTTTGCCCTAGTAGTAGTTTCCTTCTTTAATTTGGATACATCAATTTTTTTACCAATTGGGGAAAGAATAATTTTGGCAAATTTAATCAACTTGTGAACTAATGATAGATACAAATCATGAATGTATTGTAGCTAGCTAGTGTGCCTTACTCAAATTGTAAAAGTATTATATATATATATATATATATATATATATATATATATATATTAATGATTTAAAAATTAAATATTGAGATATATAATTTCAAATTACATATTAAGAGTCCTAAATTTAGATCACTATATTATAAAGTTTTAAATACTCCAATTAGAAGTTAGAGTTCGTGTCCTTATTAAGAAGAAAGAAAAAAAAAATCAGAAAGCTAAGATAAGTTGTGGTTATGCAATATATAAGAAAAATAGGAAAACAACTTTTTTAGTCCCTTCATTTGGACTATTGTATAAATTTAGTTCATTACACAGTTACACTATATGATAGTTGGCGGTTAAATCTACACTTCAAATAATTAAAAGGATAAAAGTTACACCATTGTCGCAACAGAGAGACTAAAAGTGTCATTTTTCTCAAAAATAAATTGTTGAAGTAACAAGTTAGCTAATTTAATTTATACAGCTCATCAAAAAATAATAAACAATAATGTTTCATTATTGATAATCTTTGGATTGCCTATGATAAATCTTATACGTAAAAATTTGAGATTTTTATCACCCAAAAGTGATTTAAAAATTAAGATTTACAACCAAAATCCTCTCCAATCATTTTCATGATGTGAAAAAACTATTCGTTGATATTACTTACCACCAGCAATAATCATAAACTTTTTTCTTGTTACATAGACCAAAAAAATTACATGATGATGAGTAGAATTGAGTGTGGATTGTTGCCAAGAAGAGCATATATATATAGGTGAACATTAATTAAGAGTAGTAAGTAATTGTTGTGGTGATGAAGAAGAAGAAGAAAGACAATAATGAAGAGTGGGCACAATATATATTTAATATAATCAAGTTTTAGAAAGTTGGGGTTGGGTACTGCAAATGACAGAAAGGGGGAGGATGCATGATGGGTAGTTATGGCGGTTTGATTTGTTGTGTGTCCAAAAGCAAACGTCAACTAACTACCCACTTAATTCTATGCTAAGATACTAAGACCCCTAAAGTACACGGAGTAATATTTACCACCACTTAGAGGGCAAATTATGCCCTGGACCCGTGTCCACAATGAATTATTTCAAAAAAAAAAAAAAAACGCGTCATTTAGTTTAAAAAAAAAAAAAATCGCGCGTGTTTTGTCGTTAACAGCGTTATTTTTTTTTGGATTATGAATGTACAGTTATGCCATTATGAATGTACAGTTATGCAATTATGAAATTATGAACATAGAGCTCTAACATTATGAACTTACAATTATGAACATATAGTGATAAAATTATGACCATGGAGCTTTAAAATTGTGAATATAGAGCTTCGAAGATTATAAATGTACAGTTATGAATCTACAGTTATGGATTTATGAATCTACAGTTATGAGATTATGAATCTACAGTTATGGAATTATGAATGTACAGTTATTGATCGAATTATGAACAAAGAGCTCTGACATTATGAACTTACAATTATGAACATATAGTGATAAAATTATGAACATAGAGCTCTAAAATTGTGAACATAGAGCTTCGAAAATTATGAATGCACAATTATGGAGTTATGAATGTACAGTTATGAAGTTATGAATGTACAGTTATGAAGTTATGAATGTACAGTTATATAGTTATGAACGTACAGTTATGGAGTTATGAATGTACAGTTATTAACATATAGTAATAAAATTATGAACATATACTCCTATAACGAAGCGGTCTGAATTTTTTTTTTTAAAAAAAAAAAAGAAAAAAAAAAGAGATAACAGTGCCTGTTACCCGTGTCCAGCATGCATGCTGGACACGGGTCCATAGCATAACGATTGCACTTGGAGCATTTTCGATAGCCAAATTTTTGTACAAATTTTAAGATGGCACTTAGAAGAGAATAAGGGAGGGAAAAAAATTAAAAACAAAAAAAAAAAAAAAGAAGAAGAAGAAGAAGAACGAAACAACTATGTTAACGCGCCCCGCTGTCGTGTGTAATGCACGCGCTCGATTGGACGCAGCTGACGTGCACACGAATGAGAGAGAAGTTCTTTAATTTTTGAGTGGGTTCCACTTTGCATGAAAAAAACATGTTCTTAAGTAAAGACCGGCATCTCATAAAAAGACATTGTGGTCAAGTGACATAACTAAATCAATCAAACTTAAGAAGTCACTTTTGGATCACCAAGGAGGAGGTGACCCCGGGACATAACATACACTAAGAACTCAAGACCCTATGGGTATAAAAAAAAACTCGTAAATTATCCTCGTGAAGAACCTGATGAAAAATTCTTTAAGGACGATAGAATACAAACAACTCTATCACGCGTAATAGAGGCTTTTTCTAATCTTCCAGGGAGTAGGCTGCTCAATTCCGTTCCCTGAAAATATAGTTCAATGTTGACTAATTAACCTTTTACATTATATCAAACAAGTATTAACAATGTGTAATCTAATTAAAATAAATATATATTTTTGAAGTAATAAAGTCTCAAATTTTTTGAATGCTACTAGCTCTATGACAATGTAGTATCTGTAGTAGCTCAAAGAGCCAATAACGCCTCCATTGAGGCTCAAACACACAACTTTCCAAATGGAAGTTCAACCCGGGTACCATTAGACCACATAGTCTTAGTATAAAGTCTCGAATTTAAACTACACGAATAATTAAACAAGTTGAGAGTAAGATTAAAAAGTGATTATTTTAATGTTCAAATATCAAGAATATTTAATACATTTTAAAAATAAATGTTAGCAGGAGGTTGACCAAACCAATCCCAAAGCTTAAGACAAGTACAGTTAATGAGTTAACCTCAATCAAGTCACCACCCCCACTTAATTAAGTTCATATTTAACCATATATAGTTAACTTAATTAACCCCCCACTTTCCATCTAATTATTTAATTATTTAATCTTTTTTCCCTGCCTTGCTTTTAGTGTTCTTTGACTTCCACTCACTACCATAGTACCATACATCCATCAATAATATTTTCCAAATCTCACTGTTAAACTAATCCCTCCTAAGAAAATACCAAATAAATCCAACAGAATAAATATATTATTTTTTTATTGATTAAACAAATAGTAAAAATGACCCCTCAACCCCTATATTTTATTTTTTAAAAAAACATAAATTAATATTTTGATAGCTTGCCTTGAGATCTTTGTTGTTTTGCTGACTTCGTAAGGTACATCTCATTTCCTCAGATCCGAAGAAGAAGGTAAGAAAAATCAAATTTTAATCAACCAACCAGAAGATAATTAATATGAAACCAAAAATATTATTAATAAATAATATTTAAAAATAAAAACACACACACCAATTTGAGACCCTTGATGAACAAATTGTTACTGTAGGGTCAAAGTTTCGGACTAATTTTTTTTTTTTTTTTGAAATAAAAATACAATTCTAGGAGTGGATCTCGGACTAATTCTAAATTAAGTTTACAGTTGTGAGACATTCGATAGTGTAGAAAAATATGATAATTCAGCTAAGTTGGTCGGACAGTTGATTTGATAACTATAATGTTTTAAGTTTAATTCTTTTTAAGAGCTGTCTATCCATCTTTTCGAGTTGAACTGATAAGTTATAAGTAATTAAAGCTTACCTCACCCAGATTACATATTCAAATAAAGATTATGGGTTTTTTGGTAAATTAAAAGCTTAAAGAAGTAAAATTAAAATAATTATGAAGGGAGACTCCTAAATGCTTAGGACATGTACATGTGAGCATGCATACATGAGAGGGATATATACATACATATTGATCCAAATATATGAAGACAGCTCTATCTGTAATATGTGTGTCTTGAGACATAAAGATGACAAAGAGCTGAAGTAAAAGCACATCAACGAGTTTTCACTTTCCATTGGTTGCGATTTTTTGATAGGGTTTTCTCTTTTTCTTTTCCTTCTTGATTTACCTTTCTCTTGAAAATTGGCTGTTGGTGTGCTGTTTTCTGTGCTGGGGTTGAAGATAGTGGGTAAAGTTTGAAGCTTTGAGTGGTGGGAGCAAGCAATTCTCTTGAGTTCTTAGAGAAATTCTTGGGAAAAATCTCATCTTTCTTTGGGGTGTTTGTTTTGTACCAAGTCAAAAGTGATGGGATTTTGTGTGGGTTCTTAGGGCTTTTCTGGGTGATACATTTGGAAGGATTAAGGTGGTCAAATTCTAGAAAATGAGTGGTCGGAACACTTAATCTGGTCCAACTTTGTTGAATTGTTGGGAAATCAAGAATAATTTTATCTGCCTTTGAGAATTTTGACCACTCTCTGAGATTTGAAGGTTGCAGTTATGGCTTCTCTTGGGACAAGAAGATTTCCCTGTTGAGTGGAGATAGAATAGGTATGAATCTTGAATCTGATTCTGCTGAAATTATTTTTGTTCAGTTTGCTTTGATTATTCCGTTTGTTTTCCATTAATAATTTCCCTAAAGGATCTTTGTTTTCTGTTGATGACAGCATTTACTGTGGGTAGTGTGAACTATAGATCTTCTAAACAAAAAAAGGTGGATTCTTCTATGAATTAATAACCAGTTGAGTCTGGGTAGTTTAAGTTCTGTAGAATCTATTGGGTTTTACAAGATGATTACTTTTATGGATTCCAAAGACACAGTGAGAGAACCAGAAAAGTGCTTAGATTCTCAGTTATGGCATGCCTGTGCTGGTAGCATGGTTCAAATGCCGCCAGTGAACTCTAAGGTTTTCTACTTCCCTCAGGGGCACGCCGAGCATGCCTCGAGCAATGTTGATTTCAGGAATTCTTCGAGGATTCCGTCCTATATTCCTTGCAGAATGTCGGGTATTAGGTATATGGCAGATCCTGAGACCGATGAGGTTTTCTCGAAGATTAGATTGGTTCCGGTTAGTAGGAATGAGGTTGAGTTTGAGGATGATGGGGGGGTTGGGGGGGTTAATGGAGGTGATAGCCCTGATAAACCGAGTTCTTTTGCGAAGACGTTGACACAATCGGATGCTAACAATGGGGGAGGGTTTTCGGTGCCAAGGTATTGTGCAGAGACGATTTTTCCTCGGTTGGACTACTCGGCTGATCCTCCGGTCCAGACCATCCTTGCTAAAGATGTGCACGGGGAGACTTGGAAGTTCAGGCATATTTATCGAGGGACCCCGAGGCGGCATCTTTTGACGACGGGGTGGAGTACGTTTGTGAACCATAAAAAGCTTGTGGCAGGGGATTCGATTGTGTTCCTGAGGGCAGAGAATGGGGATCTTTGTGTCGGGATTCGACGGGCGAAAAGGGGGATCGGTGGTGGACCCGAAACGTCGTCCGGTTGGAATCCAGTCGGGGGGAATTGCATGGTGCCCTATGGAGGGTTTTCGGCTTTTCTTAGGGAGGATGAGAACAAATTGATGAGAAATGGGAATGGGAGAAATAACGGGAACTTGATGGGCAGTGGAAAGGTGAAGGCTGAATCGGTTGTTGAAGCTGCTAATCTTGCAGTCAATGGACAGCCCTTTGAGGTGATTTACTACCCCCGAGCTAGCACTCCCGAGTTTTGCGTGAAAGCCTCTCTCGTCAAGACAGCATTGCAGATCCGTTGGTGCTCGGGGATGAGGTTTAAGATGGCCTTTGAAACCGAGGATTCTTCCCGGATAAGCTGGTTCATGGGAACTATATCCTCGGTTCAGGTTGCAGATCCAATTCGCTGGCCAGATTCTCCATGGCGGCTTCTCCAGGTAATCTAACTTCCAAATATTTTCCACATATATTATAACTTATAATTAAAGCATGTGCTCCATCTCAACTAAATGGCTATATGCTCAACACGCCCCCTCAGGTGTGCGGTGGGGGTGACGCTGAGATTCGAACCCACCCATGACCTTTGGCATGGCTCTGATACCAAATTAAAGCATGTGCTCCATCTCAACTAAAAGCCTAAGCTAATAGTTGGATTGCACACTAATGGCTATATGCTCAACACTTATAAGTCCACAATATATCGCTTCCAATGTATGTATGTGTTCTTAGTTGAGCTCAATTGAACTGAATTTAGTACTTTGATAGTTCAAAGGCGTCTTTGATTCGAAACAAAATGGTGCAGGTAACATGGGACGAACCGGATTTGCTTCAAAACGTGAAACGTGTTAGCCCGTGGCTAGTGGAATTAGTATCCAACATGCCCACAATGCATATCTCTCCGTTCTCGCCCCCGAGGAAGAAGTTTAGATTACCTCAACATCCCGATTTCCCGTTTGATGGACAACTTCCTATGCCGGCTTTTTCCAGCAACCACTTTCTTGGTCCGAACGGCCCGTTTGGTTGTCTTCCCGACAACCCACCCCCTGCTGGCATGCAGGGAGCCAGGCATGCTCAATATGGTTTATCATTATCAGATCTCCATTTCAATAAACTACAATCGTCGGGGTTTTTTCCCGTTGGTTTTCCTCCGCTCGATCATGCTGCTATGCCCTCGAGACCTAACAATAGTCCGGCAATCCACAAGCCTTGCAGCACCGAGGAAATTTCTTGCTTGCTAACCATGGGAAATTCTGCCGAGACGTTGAAAAAATCTGATAGTGGGAAAGCACCACTCGTTCTTTTTGGTAAACCTATTCTCACCGAGCAGCAGATCTCGTTAAGCTGCTCCGGTGATACTGTTTCTCCCGTTGGCACCGGGAATAGCTCGTCTGATGGCAATCCACATAATAAGCTGGGAAACACTTCTGACAGTTCCGGTCCTAACCTTAATCTGCACGGCACCCTCGAAAACTCTCCACGTGACGGTTCCCAACCCGAGCCGAATTTAGAGACGGGTCACTGTAAGGTTTTTATGGAATCAGAGGATGTTGGCCGTACCCTGGATCTTTCGTTACTAGAGTCATACGAAAAGCTCAACAAAAAATTAGCAGACATGTTTGGCATCGAAAACTCGGAAGTGCTGAATCATGTGCTGTACCGAGATGTCACCGGTGCAGTCAAACACCTCGGTGATGAACCTTTCAGGTAGATATATTAGCTTAATTCCTCTCTTATAACCCGAAACTTTGTTATTTATTCTTTTTTCCCGTTGATTATGCAGCGAGTTCATGAAATCAGCCCGAAGATTAAAGATTCTAATGGATTCGAGCAGCAATAATGTAGGAGTATAGAGAGTAAAGTACATAAAGCCCGACTTCGAATTCCAACTGTATAGCTGGATGACTGAGAGACCTATGTTCCTTACATGTTTAACTCGATCTTCTTCTCGGATTCTTATTCAGGTTTTTCTCTTTCGGTTTTCAACTTAGATTGCCTGCCCGCCTTTCCCCCCTTCGACACTATGCTTGCCATCGAGAAATATTTGTTGGGATTTTTCGACGACATTTCCTACAAAGAACAAGATGCATGAAACTTGTTTTTTGTAGGCTTTGCCTGCTGATCATCTAAAAGGTTATGTTCTTATTTATTAATGTTAAAGTTGCAGCCTTCTAAGAAGGCCTAGTTTTAGGTAGTTGATGAAAGCTTTTGTTCCTTATTAATGGTGAAAAAAAAAAGAGGATGTTTTAATTATCTGTTACTCATCATAAGCTTCTGCACTTGACAAATCTTGTAAATTCCAAGGTTTTTTTTTTTTTTTTTTTTTTTTTTTTTAAATAATAAATTTAAGATTCGACACAGAATATGTTGATGATAATATGTTTGGACAAATGTCATCTCCATTTGGTCTACCATTGAAGAGGACATCTGTAAAAGGATCTGATATGTTGTTTTTTCTAGTGTTTTTTAAAATATTTATTTATTTATTTATTATGCGTGTACGCATACTTTTTAGCATTTCTTATGGGAAAGCAAGAACTTGATCGGATGGATCATTTTCAAAACAACAATGCTATATATATATATATATATATATATATATATATATATATATATATATATATATATATATATATATATATATATATATAAGCCAAATCTTGTGCACCAACCAAAAGGTGTAGCTAGGGCAAATCACTCGATTGAAAATTTTCGCTTAAATGTGAAATTGAGAGTTCAGACTCAGAATTAATAGCCTAGATAATCTCGGGACAACACTGTAAAGAGCTAATCTTAGTTTAGATTTAGCTAATTGGAGGCTCGAGGCCAAGCTTGGAAAGACTATATTGGACTAAGCCCTGCCCTCACTTTACATCCCATCTCAGAGCGTAAATATGTATGTATATATGATAATACTTTTTGAAGATCGAAATTATTGAAAACTGGTTGCTATATACCCTTTTTAACGTGGCACAACAAAAAGTATAGCAAATCTCAAAATTGTTACAACTACTCCGCCGACAAATGAATCGATACTACTTAGACTCAAAGTATGACTTTTGGTTTTCTTGAATCTTGACGAGCAAAGAAGCGACACGTGGACGACAAAATCCAAACATGAGAGAGGGTTAAGTTGCAGTGTCACATGGTAGACCAAACAAATTAAAGCAGTAAAAGCTTTTGCTAGTTTTGTGGCGCAAGCATTGGGGAGGATAGTATTAGTTTAATCACGCCATTGATTTCCATAATTAATTAAGTGAAATATTAAATGGTGGGAGTGTTGGGATTAGTACTATGATTAAAAACTAAGAGAAAGTAATTAAGAATGGACCTCAAATTCTGCACAGCAGACAGCGGCGGCAAACACAAAGTCAACGTGAGTTACGCTGAGACAACATCAGCAAAACAAAAAGCGGTGTTTTATATGCATATTCTACCGCAAGTTGTTGGGGGTGTTAATTAGTCTTACATTATTATTAGTCATAATTCATAATTAATAATTGTAATTAATAACCAACATTATTACTATATGGAGCCGCACGTGGAGGACCACTTCACCAATAATTATAGGGTTCACGTGTGGTTACGTTGGCTGATGTATAAACTATAAAGTATATTAGAAATAACACTTTTGGTGCTTCACCATAATATACATTTATTGCATGTTTGGTTCACAGAATTAATTTTGAATGAATAAAAATGTTATTTTATAAAGAATGGAATAGATAAGAAATAAAATAAAATATAAATTATATTCCATTATTTGGTTTACAGAAGAAATAATTTTCAAGAATTGTATTACAATATTTTATTAGTTTAAAGAATAAAAATGATTTTGTACACCGCCGCCGTTAGTTGTCGTTCGCCATACACGCCGGCACGCCGCCATGCACAACCGTCACCATGTACACTGCAGCCATCGCCGCCGGCCGTGTATGCATGCACAGAAACCGTGGCCGTCCGCCATGCACGCCGCCATTACCGTTCGCCACACATGCACTCCAATCGCCACCCACGGTTGCCATGCACGCACCACCTCCACTATGCCTTTTTAACCCAACAAGATTTGGGACAACCTCTTTCCTTCACTACTCCCATTTGAGACAAGACTTTTTCAATACATGAGCCCCGAGATCCCATGGCCCCATCAATAATAATAATAATAATAATAATAATAATAATAATAATAATTTATTAATGAATTTATTTATATACTTCAATAAATATAATGTATTATATAATTGTATATATTTAATTAATTATATTTTTTATCTATAAGTAAATAAATTATATATATATATATATATATATATATATATATATATATATATAAACATGCATAAGGGTATTTTTGGTATTATAATACATAAACTATATTCTAGTGCTTGGGAATAGTATTCCAATCTCCCTGCAAATAGAATAGCTCATTCCCAGAAATGTTATTTTCATGAATAAAAGGCTAAGACAAACGATGGAATTGGTCTATTCCTGTGAATGGTATTTCATTCTCGACCTATTCCATGAACCAAACATGCTATTAGAGTGCGATAAATTAGTTTGGAAAAGCATACTTTCAAGTGGGGGTTGCAAGTTTTTTGTAAATCAAAGTAATTAAATTTGGTTGCAGGGACAGTTCAATTGATTCTTGGGTGGTAGGTTTTGGGTAAAGAGACATGATCAAGCATTGGCAACCTTAGTGTGAGAGATAGTCAATGTAGTTTACCCCTCCACTATTTTGTGAGGCTCTAGGCTAAAGAATTTCGTCTTTTGTGGGTAAAGTAATTAAATTTGGTCATTAGCTAGTATTTGGTTAAAGATTGTTTTGAGGTAATGTAACTTTTTTTAGAATTTCATATAACCTAAGAATGTGTGGGGTATGTAATTCTCATCCCACATCGTCTACAGTAATATGACATTTCCTTAACCAAACAAGAAAATATGATATGTATGTTGGTAAAATTATCTATTTTTGACGTTTAAAATGCTCATCATTTTGTGGTATAATTTTTAGTGTGGTTCACTCCTAATTTGTGTCAGGTTAAAAGCTTGAAGGAGCCTTTGTCCCACACTGAAAAATAAACGTAGATTTGTACTAGTATATATAGCTTATAGGCTTGAAGGAGATACAAATCAAATCTCACTTTTAACTAAAAAGTGACATTTTCACAACACACCTCTATGGTGTCCTACCACGCCGTTATTATAAGCCTACTTAATTTTTTACTTGATGAGTTAATAGAGAATTTTACAGTGCCTGTACTGTTATCCCTTCCATTTACTAGGGCAGGATTAGGTGACCTTAAATGAGTGGACATTTGGATGGTTGTACACAAGAACTGAAGAAGATATGTGTACAAACGCACCCTAAATGTTCTGACAACTCACAACAAATGAAACACATGTTAAAACGACCATTGACTTTGAGAATGGATTTTATGTATATAATAATAAAAGGCTTTTATTTAAAGTCCACATGAAGAGATGTTTTTTATTAAAATTTTAGTGACTTTATGTTCATTAAGACACATGTAGCCCGGTACAAATTGAAGGCGTGATATAATTTTACTATAGATCTAGCATCACATACTTGACAAAAATAAAAAATGTTACAATGTAATATTTGTCCATACATGCTTTCTCAACCTATTGAATGTCTGGAGCATAAAGAGTCAATGTTCTCACTGGGGTTCAAATTTGTGACCTTCTATTTGCAAGAGCCACAATTATGATGCTCAACCACAAGGTCTTTTTGTTTGGTGTACTTTTTGACTTTGCACGTTTTTTTAAGTTCACTTTTATATATCATTAGATTAATTATGTACTTTTACTTAGTATGTGCACCCTTGTGTCTGATTTTTTTTTTACAAGAAAGCGCATTGTCATCTCATAAACTGGGTCCTCAACTCCTTGTGTAAAAAGTAAGGACTAGTCACAGCCGTCAATCATCTTAATCAATATTTTAGGCAGAGAGAGAATATAAGTATAAGGTTAACTGTCCAAAAAAATTGAATGAAATTAACAAATTTTTTAACTTTTTGACCATTGCTTAAGGTAGTCAAAAAATGGTCACTATTTTTAATAGATGAAAATCTCACATTTTTCTATTATGTTAAAAAAAAAAAAAATTAAACCACTTTTCACATGTAAGCTAAAAAAATAATACTCCGTAATAATTTGGCTAAACATGTTTGGTCCAAGTCAAAAAGGTATGGTGGTAGACGCAAATTATATCGTTTACCAGGGCCACATTGTGCGCCCTGTTCTATAAAATGCGTGGCTTTGTATCTATTTCTCGTTTTTGTTGTTAACTTCATTTTTTTAAAAAATATTGATTTTGTATGTACAAATTGTATGATAGAATACATATAAATTTCTAACATAGTATATAATATATAATACATATAAACTTTTTAAATAATACACATAAACGTATTCGAGTGTTAAAAAATTATAACGGAATTGAACGGACGAAACGGTGTTCATCACGTCAACTCTCCGCCAACTTATAAAAACGTCGTCATTTTGGATTAGGACGCACAATGCATTGTGCGCCCTGGTGCACGATATAACGATCGGTGGTAGACATGATTAAATGATATTCAAGCAAAGTAATAATGGATTAATGAGACTTTACGTGTGTTGGTTATCACCGACAGTGGAGAGCAGCATATTTTATATATATATATATATTATGCACTTAATAAGTTAGGTCTCTATTTAGTGGAGGTGTTTTCCTCTAAATTACTATTAAGTCAGTTGATTTAAAAAGAGTTAATTATCAAAACGGTCCCTTGACTATAGCGGAATTACCAATTTAGTCCTTGACTATTTTTTTAACCAATTAAGTCCCTCAACTTTAAAATTTTTAACCAATTTGGTCCTCCGTTAGTTTGACCGTTAGTCAACTGTTAACTTGGGACCAAATTGGTAATTTTGCTATAGTCAAGGGACCATTTTGGTAATTAACTTTAGGGGTGGGCAATTCGATTTAGTTTTCTTGAATCGAACCGTACCGAACTAGTTTGGTTCGGTAATATACCGAACAATCGAACGGTATTGGATTCTTGTATACCGAACGGTTCGATAAAAAACCGATCCGAATTGTTCAGTAAAAAATTGAACTGAACCGAATACCGTTTGATTTTTTAAAACAATATAATAATAATAGTTCTATATCATGTGTTGTGGTGTTTACATAGTCCATATCGAAAGTCTAATATATAACAAAATAACAATC